AAAAACATTAAAAACACAGTAATGAATCTACCAAACTAAAGTGATTGATTGATGTCTTGCTCTTTCAGGTTTTGGTGGAGGTGGCAAATATGGAAGGTATTGCTTCTTTAGCAATGATAACATATTTGTATTACTTCTATGCACAGGCTTTTATACATCATGTTGGTAATCATGTTCTTCATGACCAGCCCAGATTTGTTGGTCGGCTGTTGACCCTGTTGGTTGATAGCCGGCCGACTACCGACCAACACTTGCCCAACACTGTCTTCTTATCAATACATTTCAATGCAAAGCTAACTGGTTTTACCAAACAGATGTACAATAGCTTATTTGAAAGCAAAAAGTCTGTGCATAGGAGTATGTGAATACATAGGAGGACATACTCTTGTACCTTGTGCCGTAATGCAGTATTTTGGAAGTTTTCAGTTTTATATCTTTTAGATGTTTTTACCTACAGCTGTCGAGAACTTCTATATTTTTCTTCCAGCCATCAGCCAGTCAACCGTGGTGGTGATGGGCACAAGACTGTGTTCCCAATCTCTGGACTCACTCCTTACCAGAACAGGTACAGAAAGAAGGAATCTTATGAGAACCTAAATAGAGGTGTATGAGCCCAACAAAAATGATCTGGGGTGATTTGGACACCTAATGTTCTTGTCTTTGTGTTATTGATGAAGCTTGAAACATCTAAATAATCATTTATCCCACCCATTCATCTATCCCATGCATGCAAAGGGAAGCATGTTGGCATGCACATGTAATGCATCTCCTCTCACTAGGTCCTGCTGGGCTCGGTATCATATGTGAGCAGATTTGTTTGATTGTCCTCTCCTGTGCTTTTAGGGATTTTCTCCTTCTCCTGTTTTTTTCTCCCTTGGCAAAAATGTACTTCTAAATCCCAATTCGATCTTAGGAGATATTCTTGATGGAGTTAACTTCTTATATCTCCTTTCACACTATGATGTGAATAAATGGGTTATGCATGAATGTATCCATCTAGACTTGTTCCAGGGAAATATTCAGAAGTGTGCTATTTTAATTAATTGGTCCCTAAAAAGCTTGAACAGTGTGTCCACAGGTGTAGACCAAATAGCGTTGCTCAAAAACTAGTTTAGTAAGGGGACTATTCTACATTAATTGGCCATATGTTTTATTTTAGGTGGACGATCCGTGCAAGAGTAACATCCAAGTCTGGTATCAGGACCTGGAACAACTCTAGGGGAGAGGGGCGTCTCTTCAATGTTGAACTGGTTGATGAGTCGGTAAGTTTTATTACATTGTAAGGGACTGTTTATTATTTATGCCTCAAGGGGTACGGAGGAAACGTAAAGGACAACAGGAAAAAAATTGCAACCCCCGTCTTTGCGCACCCCCTTTTTTCCATTTTCCTTTTGTCCTGCATTTATGGAAATAGCTTTTCTGTTTTTGTTTTTTTCAATGTTGCTATTACTTAACAATTATTCGCCGAAGGCGAAGTGAATATTGGGGAATAATAACCGAAACGAAGGTGAGGTTATTATTCTCAATATTCACTGAGCCTGAGGTGATAAATTGTTTCAGTATAGATACACGGGTGATTCTTTCAAAAAAAGAAAAAATATAAGATAAAAGACACATTTAAAATTAGGAGCAGCAACAAAGCAGCTGGCCGCCATTTTGGATTATCGCTGGAGGTGGTTATTGTGTGTGATAATCTGATTTTCTTGACTAATCAGTGCGCAAGGTTTTCAACAATAACCTGTGTATTTATACTAAATTAATTTATTTACTTTGGTACAATAATCATTAGGGTGAGATAAGAGCTACTGGTTTCAATGATGCCGTGGACAAGTTTTATGATCTGCTGGAGGTCAACAAGGTATTGTGTTGTATGATACATTAGTTACTTGTTTGATTATTATTTGTAGATTAATCTTATGATGTTTCTCTTCTACATGTTATACATATTGCTGTTAGGTGTACTACTTCAGCAAAGGATCCTTGAAGACCGCCAACAAGCAATACTCTTCTCTGAAGAATGACTATGAAATGTACTTGAACAATGACACTGTTATTGAAGTGGTGAGTAGATAGAAAGCCCAGTCCGTCCATCCAACCATCCATTCATTTATCCATCCATCCATCCATCCCATCCATCCATCCATCCATCCATTCCTCCCTCCCTCCCTTCCACATTTTGCCTCTGTCTGATTCCATCTTTTTTCATCATTCCTTTTTTTCAACTATTCATTCCTCTTTCTCTTCCTGTACATCCATCAGTCTGTCTCCCAACCATGCATTCAACCATCCCACCCTTTCCATTCCATCTCTATGTTATTTGTCCATCCATTTAATCTCATCCATTCCAAATTCTACATTTAGTTTATTGAAAAATTTAACTTATGTCTTATTATAAACGTCACATTTATCTGGTTGTGATATTTCCAGTGTACAGAGGAGTGTGATTTACCAACCATCATGTACAACTTTGTGAGCATCTCCGATCTAGAAAATATCAATAAAGATACTATGGTTGGTGAGTATCGAAATAGAGAAGTGGCCTAGCATTTCATATTTGAGTCCAGGGAGCATGATGTACTTAATGTGAGTACAGTATTTTACTCTGCTTTGTTGGACAGTTATCATAATGTAATGATATATGTTCCAATTATTGCTGCTGATGCTGATGATGATGATTATGATGGTGATGCTGATGATGATTATGATGATGATTATGATGGTGATGATGATGACGACAATGGTGATGATGATGACGACAATGGTGATGGTGATGACAATGGTGATGATGATGACGATGACGGCAATGGTGATGGTGATGTGACGTGATACAAGTGGCGAAGATGATCATTAATTTCATGTTGATAATGATCATGATGACTGATTAGAATGATGATGATGTGTTTATAGTTCAATTTGTGATGATTGCTGCCGCTCATGATCATGATGATTACTATGATGGTGATGTTAATGATGTAACATAATAGTAGTGCCGACATTTATTTATGTTGATAATGACGATGATGATGTTATGATATCAGTGATGATGACATCAACTTTAATGATATTAACACCTCATCACCATAGTGATCGTAAATAATCGTTGTTGTTGTTGTTCGTTCCTGCTCATTTCTGTATTACTATAGTTACAGTACTAAACTTTTTCTTCCTGATAGATATTTTGGGAGTTTGTATCAATGCTGCAGATGTAACTCAAATTACAACCAGAACAACAAACAAACAGGTAAAATAATATCAACAAAATCCTGAATTTTCAATTATCAATCTTGCCAAATTTCCTATTTAGGCTTTCACCTTAATAACAGGACAGTTTAGCTAGCCATCTTATGGGAGTCCTGTGTTGTGGGGATATTGAGGTGGAAGAAGTAAGACTGAGATGAGTGGAGGGATGACCCATTCTCCTCTCTTGTGCTACTTGCACAGGAATCCCAATAGAAGTTGACTTCATAGGAGGCTTAACTCATGTTTTTTAAGGAATATTTTATTACTTTGAATGATTTTTTATTTCAAGACACTAAAATTAATATATATATTTAAAAAAAAGTAAAACAAGAAATGTTTAATTTTTGTTTTTAGGTTTCAAAGAGAGACGTGACGCTGGTTGACAGGTCAGAGAAGAGTGTAACTGCAACCCTGTGGGGTGAAGAGGTAAAAAAAATGCAATATAGGTTTTGCATGATCACATTCTAGTGGCCATGTTAGATGGTAGAACAATAGAATCCTTTTACTCTTTGGTATTCTTTCTCGTTTCTCATGTAAGATGAATGTATTCATGCTATCTCACTAGCTGCATCTCACATGGCTGTTGTCATAGTGCAAAATCTCTATAGATACTTTATTTATTGTTTTGCCCATATTGGTACCCAGCAAGACAAGATTATTAAAGGTTCTGGAAAGTATCTGGAATCCCTGCAATCCTTATGGAGTTGAAACTGCATGTTAATCTAAAACACAGAACATGATTTTTCATCAGGGTTCCCAGGGGTCAGGGAAAAGTCAGGGAAAAACACAGTCAATGGAAAAGTCAGGGAATTTTGTTTAAAGTTAACCATGAGTATCCGTGTGATACTCATACTGTCTGCAATTTTCGAATAGACTGATAAATCTTTTCAAATAATGAAAAATATATTGAAGTATTTAGTATCATTTATGCCGGACAGTTTAATTACGTTGGGTATCCTGTGTAATATCTTAAGAGCGGGGCCTAGGTAAAAGTTAGGCATGTGGCCCATGCTTGCCCATGTGGCTCAACAAGGTCAGTGAAAATTGTTATTTAGTCAGGGAAAAGTCAGTGAAAAATCAGGGAATTTTTATTTTCAAAATGGCTGGGAATCCTGTTCATGGTCACGATTGAATTTTGGATTCTTAGGCTGAGAAGTTTGACGAACATGTTGGTAAGACACCAGTATTGGCCATCAAGGGTGCCAAGCTATCAGACTTTGGAGGTAAGCAGTTGATATTAAGGACCTTGTTGAGTAAAGAGTGTAGAAATGAAGGTTCTGTGCTTACAGTATATTTGCTTCCTTTTGTAGGACGATCCTTGTCAATCTTGAACTCTTCCAATCTCAGAATCAATCCACTGGACTTAAAAGAAGCCATGAGCCTCAGGGGATGGTATATATTTTCAAAATATTATTTTATTACTTGTGTAAGATTGAGAGAAAGAGCCTGTCAGTGTGACATTATTATCAGGGTTCCCAGGGGTCAGGAAATTTTTTGTTTAGTCAGGGAAATTGCAATTTTCACCTAAAGTCAGGGAAAAGTCAGGGGATTTTGTTTAACGTTAACCATGTGTATCCATGTGATACTTGTAGATGTTTGCAATTTTCGAATAGACTGATAAATCTTATCCTGTGTTATATGATAAGAGCGCGGCCTAGGTAAAAGTTAGGCATGTGACCCATGCTTGCCCATGTCAGTTAAAAGGTCAGCGAAAACTGTTATTTAGTCAGGGAAAAGTCACCAAATTTTTATTTTCAAAATGGCTGGGAACCCTGATTATTAATACACCACTAACAAGACAATGTTGACAGCATCTCATCCAGCTACTTTGTTGCATGATAAACTTTCATTATGTTGACAACTCATTTTTTCTTTTATGCAGGTATGACAATACAGGCAAGAATAATGAGCTGCAATCAATATCTAATCAGCGCTATGATGGAGGTAGGATTTATTCTAGTAACTCTAGACAACAGTGACAAAAATTTGGGAACAAGTTGGGAAAAAAGTATAGGAGAGAACTGAGCAGAAAATCTACACATGTGACAGCAGGGGTGAGAGTTAGGCCAAACAAGTGTGTTTCCTGTTGTGCAACCGACCCTAATTTTCTTGCCGATTTTTGCCAACCCTAATACAGTCAACTCTCACCTTGCGGACACCCAGATATTACGGACACCTTGCTATTATGGACAGGAAAAAAATCTCTGACAAATAACTGACAAAGAAATGTCCTTAAGTAATTCCCGCTATTGCGGGCGCTCACTATTACCGACACCAAGTGACGGTCCCAAGGGTGAGAGTTGTCTGTATTTTTTTCATTTCCAAATGCACCACAGGGTTCCCAGTAAGCTCATTTCCACTGTTGTATCAGTAAAAAATCTGACCTACCGACCCCAATTATTTTTCTCATGCAACAGAACACTTATTTTTTTGTTTGGCCTTATACCTATACTATACAAAAATCCTGGAAATTGAGTTCTCATTTTTTACTTCACTAGGATCAGGCAAGATGAAGTACTTATCTCAGATCAAGAACGAGCAGCTTGGAATGGGAGAGAAAGTAAGTGTTCATAAAGTCAACATCATCTCGTGTTCTGTTAATATTCTTTTATAACTATTTTAGAGAGTCATGTCAACATGAAGACTAATTTCTACAGACTCGACTCAAAAGTGCTTCATCGTCTTGCCCAAAATCATACAATAATTTGCTATTACGATGAAGCAGGTTTCAGTGGACACTGATCAGGGTGTTTTCATGCTGTCCCATAGGCTGGTGCCCTTGGAAACTTTGCGTTTTCTTTCAATTTCATGGACACACTTTCATTGACCTCCACTTCGTTATGGCAAATTATACATTATTGCATGTGATTAAGGAGCACTGTTTTAATGTTATTACAGTTTATAAAGTATGTATTTGTTTTGCAGCCTGATTACCTGTCTGCCAAGGGAGTGTGTGTGTACCTCAAGAGAGAGAACTGCTTGTATCAGGTAAGTTTCCTAATGAAGTTTATTTATATTTTTGTAAGGTCTGGATGCACTCGATGTAACATTGATAATGTTAGTAAACACTAATAAATACCTGCATTTGTTGTCTAAGTAATGCCCTTAAGCCCTGCCCTGCCCTGCCCTGGTTTTCTTTGCCTTTCTTCTCCTCTCTCCACCTTTTCTTTCCTTTAGTTCTATATGTTTTCTGTCCTAAGATAGATTTTATCCCTACAGGCATGCCCAACAGACGAATGTAATAAGAAAGTGATTATGGAAGATGATGGATTTCGATGTGAGAAATGCAACAAAAAATTCCCAGATTTCAAGCACCGTCTCATTCTATCTGTAAGTACTTATTTGGTTATTATGTTAGTCAAGCCTGATTTCTTTGCTTTACAACTTTTGGTGTTATTGAATGTGTCAGTATGACCAGAAAATCCAGGAAACAGTACCAGGATATTTGAAAAGGGCCATAAAAATTGTATTAAAAAAATTAACCTGTGAAAGGAGTGTTGTGTAAGCAATGAATATGGAAGTGCACGAGGAGCAAACTAAAAAAGACGTCCTTTTTTCACGAGGGTAGCACTAGCCTTAATAGCCAGTGGCTAACAAACCTGTGGCCCTCATTCCGTGATCGAATTGGAATTTAGTAGTTGATTTTTGCGGAGAAAAACTTTACGAGAGCTCCATTCCAGGAATGATGGTTGCATGTAGAATATAAATTCTAAATATCAATTACCATCATTTTTTCAGGCTCATTTAGCAGATTTTACTTCCAGTCAGTGGGTGACATGCTTCCAGGAGTCTGCTGAGATGATCCTTGGTCATACTGCTAAAGAAGTTGGAGAACTAAGAGACAGCGTAAGATCAACAAATTAAAGTCAGTTTTCTATGGGTCTGTACTGTAATCCAACATGAAATGATGTCAAAAATGATCCAAACTCAAGTGGAACCACAAGCGCAGCGAGTGGTTTCACTGCGAAGTTTTGATCATTTTTGACATAATTTCATGTTACGTACAGACCCATAGAAAACTGTTTTGTTTTTTATCATAACAAAGTTGAAGAAATTGATCAAAGAGACAAGTAAATAGTTTGAAAAAGCCGATTCATCCGCTCCCCCAGTGCGCGCGTGACAGATGTCGTAGGCACAAGTAGGTCTAGCCTCTAATCGACAATGGTTCTAAGCCAACCAGCGCATGAGAAATTTCCAAGTTATGGTAAAATATTCCCTTGATTCATGATAATATTGTCTTTACAAGTCATGTGTTCCAACATTCACTGGTTATAGAGATACATGAGTTTTTGCATATTTCCATATTACAGTGGTTAAAAGGGAAAGAAAAAATAGAAAGGAAAAAGTAGAAAAAGAAAAAATAGAAAATTTGAAAATAAGCTGATCAAATTGTAGCATATATTAAGTTGAGAGCAGTTACTTTGAAAAAATGTTTGCCTGACTAAAAAATGATGAATAAAAAAAATAAAAAAATAATGATAATGGGGTTTTTATATAGCGCATTTCACATTGTCTCAATTTTTGAAAAAACGTTTGTCTGGCTAAAAAATGATGAATAAAAAAATAATGATAATGGGGTTTTTATATAGCGCATTTCACATTGTCTCAATGCGCTTTACATTTATGAGCAGTGGAGGACTTTACGGGCTGCATATTAAAGGCGCTATTAGCAGCCGTGCAGCTTACAATCATGAGTGATTTGTTAGTACATTAGTGTTATGCCTCCACATTGGGATAGGCTGTTGAAACGGGAGACATGTTAAGAATGATTGATTGTTGATTAATCAATTGATTAATTGGTTAATTATTTATTTATTTATTTATACCTTAATAATTTAGGGGAATGAAGGTGCATTTGACCAGCTGTTTGCTAATGCAGAGTTTAAGAGCTATGTCTTCAAGATTAGAGCCAAAATGGAAACCTACAATGTAAGTAAAGTAATCAGTATCCCGTATTTAACTTGGGCATAGTGTTTACCCATCACAGACCATGTATCATTCCCTAGAGTATCATTTCTTTGTTTAATGGTTATGCATGACAAGATGCRTGAGTATGGATATGACTCAAACAAAGAATCTTATTTTCAAGAGAATAACATGTGGTCAGAAATATGCAAACGAGGTATTGTATTCAAACCTTATTTGGGATTAAACCCACAATCCTCAATTAAGTTACTATCGATAGACATCACTTCCAGTAATAGAGTCATTTTTAATGGCTTATAGAATCTTGGAGGCTGTTTTGATCTCATGTTTTCTGGTTTCATGTCATAGAAATAGTCAAAAACAATAGTTTGAGGACTTATTTTGACGTTTTAATTTAACATCTTGTTTGTCCCCCAGACAACAAAAAGTCACGTGATTGATAGTAAGCAATTAGAAGAGCAGACCCAGGATTGTTTAGGAGGGGTTGACCATATATATAATCAGGAAGTTTAGAAACTCAAGCACCAATAATGCAGTAGCTATCATCAGTACATCGAGTGGGGACTGTTGCACCCCCTGTACCTCTTTCCTTGATCTGCCCCCACTAATTCATATTTCCCTGTTACAGTACTTCCCAATTATTAATTTATTCATTCATCCATCCATCCATCCATCCATTCATTCATTCATTCATTCATACATAATAATAATATTATTTATATAGCGCATTTTCCAATATGCCCAAATGCACTTCTTCATACATTCATTCATTTATTCATTCATTCATTCATACATTCATTCGTTCATTTATTCATTCGTTCATTCATTCATTATTCATTTATTTATTTATGCAAAATCGTACAGTTTGCTGTTGCAACTGAGTTGTTTTAGTGGACATCAGTCAAGGCATTTTTATGAAATTCCATAGTCATGTGAATGTCATTGAACACTTTGATCGACACTCACCATAATATCCACCAATATGTGCTGACAGCAAATTGTGTGATAAGATTTTGCATGTGTGATTGGGAAACACCCTATCTTAACAACCCTTGTGCAATCTCACCAGGAGGAGACCAGACTCAAATGCTCTGTGGTTGGCGTCAAACCAGTAGATTACAAACAGGATTCCAAGAGACTGCTAGAGGATATCCAGAGGCTAATGAGCCTGTAACTGATCTGGTCGGGATACAGTACTAATTTAAGATATATGGACAGACAGACACAGTTTTCTACTCAAGTCATACACTTTACTTCACTAACACTAATAACAGACAAACGTTAATGTACACAAGAATTTAATGGAGGAGATGCACAACTTTGTAGTTACGCCATCATAATCCTACTAATAGACTACATTATAGTGGCATTTACTACTACTGAGAGAAGTCTTTTCACACTTAAATCATATGTATAACAGACTACTATAATAGACCAGTTTTGAGTTTCAAATCACTGCTGTGATCCTTAATTACAGACTCATTTACTCAGGGTCAGCCTTGAATCAGTGTCTAAATATTCACAAATACCAATGTAAAAGTAAAGAATGCACAACTTCAACAATACAAACACTTTGAAATTCCACGGACCTTCACTGGAACACATGAATATTCTACACGAAGGCGAGCCTAACCCTGAGCAACAGAGAAATAGAAACTGRAGTATTGAGTTCAACTGAGAAAATGATAAAGTTATTGTTAGTTATTGGTGCTATTTTCTTGAGTGGTTGTTAAGTATAAAGGTGTTTTTGCCGCTTGGATAGTTCTTTAAAGATTTGATTTGTGTTTCTTCAAGCATATTTTTCTCACAAACAAATTTCAAGCTCCAGGCGAGATTTGAACCCATCAGGAGCTTGATTTTTTTCTCCCGAGAAAATTATGCTTGAAGAAACACAAATCAAATCTTTAAGTCGAATTTTGTTGCACAAGCCTGTAGATATGGAATGCAGACTAACTTAAAGGCCGATCTTTGTTTACGTTTTTTACTCATTAGCATTAAAAAAATTTCAAATGCAAGCTACAAGCAAACCGACTCCAGAAATCAAAAGAGTGTCTTGTTTAGTAACTACTGAAAATTTGAGAGTAATATGTTCAATATTTTGGGAGTAATTTTTTTTTTAAAAACACTATAAATTACAAAAAAAAAGTATGGTTGTGTTGCAAGCCTGCTTATAAAAACTCATAGACAAAGAAACATAAAGCGTACCAAAAAACAATACCAGCTTATTTTACAAGATTATTAGTTTGATTAAACCATATAAATGTATCTTCTCAGATATCAAAGAGAGACATGGGTTGTTTTTTGAAGATGTCACCTCGAGATTTCCAATATAAATGAATGGAAAATGGAATTGCAAACAATGCTGGATGATGTTCACTATAGGTGGTGGCCATGTTGGATGATGTTCACTATAGGTGTTGGCCATGTTGGATGATGTTCCCTATAGATGGCAGCCATGTTGGATGTTGTTTACTATAGGTGGTAGCCATGTTGGATGATGTTTACTATAGGTGTTAGCCATGTTGGATGATGTTCCCTATAGGTGGTGGTCATGTTGGATGATGTTTACTATAGGTGGTTTGCAAGTCATTCCCTAAGAAATAATGTCATTTTCCAGTTGTGAATAACAAATCATACTCTATCAAAACGTTTTTTTCCTCCTTTTCATGAATGATCAAGGTGTCTCCAAAAATGGTGCCGGGTGGAAAGAGCCAAGCGACAACAGTCAATTGAACTTTGTGCAACAACGCTGGCTTGTTTCTTTCAAGTTCCTTGAAATGGGTGCCCCTCGTGAGCAGTCTTAATGCCTCCACCATCGCTTCACAGAACGCCCAAAGTAACGCATAAAAAGCCAAGGACAAAAGAGCCATAACAAGCGGGATGGAAGTGTGCACAAGAAACCACCTGAATGCCACATAAAGCATTGGAAGCGAAACCAAAAACAAGAGCAAGAAGCTCGCAAAGAAAGTTACCCTCAACATATACAATCCCAACATCAAGTTCTCGGCTTGCTTGCTATCTTCTTCTCCGTACCGACACCAGCGAGCAAAATGCTCACAGTTTTTATACAGCAGGTTGTACCCTGATGTACCAACTTTGGATAAGGCTCTTTCGACGATTTCATTCGCTGGCAGAGGCTTTTTGCCTTTCCATGGTTTGTTTTCAATGTGTTTACTCCCTGGTTTTACAACATCAGCACATTTTTCTTTTTTGACTTTAGCTATTTCACAACGACCAGATCGTAGAAACGAAGCTTCGAAACACTTTTGTAATTCATTTGTACTGCTGCCTGATAAGTGCACAATATATCCATTGCCTACGTTGATGGCGTAATGGTGGTAGAATCCCTTCAGCCTCGTAAATGCGATCAGATCTCCTGGAGAACCAGGGCAACGACAGGACGTAGCTATCCATGCCAACGCTAAAAGCGTAAGCACCGAAGTACCATTCATTCTGGTTGGCAACAGCTAGAAATCCTTGCTCTTTAGGTTTAACAGTCTTTCATTAACTTTATATCAGGGTTTGTTGTTGTGCAGACACCACGCAATGCGAAATCAGTATCATGAGTATAGGATATCACGGTTGTAAAATATGTTCGTAGCCACGCATTCAATTAGTGCGTATTCATTAACCCAGGGCATTTAACGAGTAAATAACGAAAATGGTTCATCGATCTGATTGGTCCATTTATGACGGTAATTCAAAGTCACGCCATCATGGATACACAAACTCGAGGCGGTCTCGTGATCATGCACGTCGCGACAGATCACGCCACTTCGGGGATTCCCCTAATCTCTCTGACTTCTGTTTTTGTTTTTGTTTTTTGTCGAAAGCAGAAAATTAATATAAAAATAGAGTAAACAAAGTTCTTCGATTCTTTGATTATAACAATTACACCATTATGTTAAGAAATCGGATGAAACGCTCTTTCACGTGTTTAATATATTACTTGCAATGCCTATCGGGCTCGTGCATGCTATTTTGAAAAACCCACTCGTGAAAATTAATCCCAAATTGCATTCGAAACCATATGATTACCTAGTATACTAATACTAAACACTAGCCAT